AATACAGAGATGATATTCAACTGCACTGGGAGCAATAATTTCTTGGGGACTAAAATAAGCCTGTTCTTTGAAACGAATATTCACAACCAGTGAGATTGCCTAAACGTTGACTAAGGTGGAAAGAATGATGGCCGGCTTTTGATGTGCCTTTGTTTTTTTTCGCCAAAAATTCCGTAATCGAATATCGTGAGAATATTGTCCAATCAAACCCAACTTTTTCAAAATTCACAACCCACTCTAACTGAATGTATAACCCTTATATCAGAGTTACTGATTTCACATCAGTAGACGTTCAGCGATTCCTCTAACCACATGCTCGGCCTTCGTTGATGATAAAAATATTGCGCCTCACCTACAAAATCAACAAAAAAGTTAATCCAGATAATTCATTGTCATTGAAACTAACCTTTGCTGATTAGCCGTTCATGGCCAAGAGGTTAGGTGTTCTACCACTGGCTAAAAGCCTGCTGAAATTTGGCGAGACATGAACTGCTGTTGATTCCGAATAAGATTGAAACGACTGTACAGTGCATAGACTAGTTCCATTCACATGAACTTTATCAGTATCCTCACATCTACATTAATCTGTATAGGCCCATCCATCGCTAGGTTTGCTAACCATCGGTCAAAATTCAACTCTCTCCAAAGATAACGTGCAAATCTCCTGGTTCGCCTCCATCCTTCCCTGTTTCGTTTCGGACTTGCAGTCCAAAGTTTTCACGTCAACGTCGGTATGTTTCTCCTCATAGTTTCCGTCGCTGTCTTCAGAAAGTCCATCCCGCATTCCGTGCGGCATTCGACTGTAACACGGACGGATCCAGTTTACTAGTCACCTTTCAGATTCTTCAAGTTCGTAAAAGCAATACTTCCTATTAGCTACGTCAATCTTGTTTACTTCGCCGTCAGTCTATGCTTCACAACTCCTTCAGAAAATCAGACCAGAATTGAAGATGTCTCTGTGGGAACCCGAAAATGTAAAGAGAGCTCGGCATTTTATTTTTCCACATACATCTTCTGCTCTACCAGGAGCCGTCCAACCAGTTTCCTGGCATTCGTCAACTCTCTTGTGATTCTTCCATGAAGGATCTTCATGGGTCGTTTTTGGCCGAAGTCCTGGACTCTCACCCAGATCATGCACTTCAAAATTTTTTAATGTCTTCTCGCCCCCCAAGTTTCAGAAAATTTCCTTGCTGATTCCACCCCAACTAACGGCCCCCCACTCCTCTTCTCAAAAGCGGTTGTCGTGAGAGATTGTTTTCTGAAATCACCTCATATTCCACAATTTGCCAGTGGAACCAGTTTCCTTCTTCTAGGTTACTTTAGACAGAGTCAGAGCGCAGCAAATCTGCTCTTCTTGGTTCATCGGCAACGCTCCGCGTCTACTAACTCAATCGACATCCTATGCTATTCGCACGTAAAGTGTTCAGTCTTTGGTCTTCGTTTCGCAGAATACAGAGGCACATTCTTCATAAGTGTGCTATCTATCTATCTTACCACATTAGATGGGAGCTGTCGAAGCCCAACAGCTGGACCCACGTGAAAAGCGTCTCGATAAGACAAGCTCAAACTACTGTCCATATTATTAGTAGTAGTTACCCCAGTGACTGAAACTCGGTTGCTATTTAAATGAGTGGTGCACTGAATACCAAACCTTCTCTTTCAATCTTCCCAGTAATCCTGCATGTAATCCGGTCAGACCAGAGACTTATAGTGAAATAAATGAAATAAACCAATAGAAAACTATGTAAAGGCTTTGACTTGATCGGATGAGGAAAATTTCAGAAGTCACATTGAATTCGGTTGAGTAATATCAGGGATCGAACTCGCGCAACAACATTAAAATTTAATTGACAGAATAGTGGAAGAATAAACATTCAACAGACCACTAATGGCACAACTCAGCTGGGGTATGAGATTTTGTGACCGAGCAGTGTTTTCCTCTGATACTCTGCAAACTGAACCAAAGTGTTATATGTAATTCCCATAAAATGTAATAAAAATGTATTGAAAATTGCTCACGTCTTTCACAGGTGGTACCGCTGACTCCGGCTGGACAGGAACATGTAATGTTCTCCATCGTCTTGGAACAAGAACCACCATTGTGGCAAGTCGACTCAGTACAAGTTGTAAGTGGGGTGACAGCACCTGATAGTTGGGGAGTAGGAAATTCGCAGAAACCAATGAGTACCAGTTAGTTACATACTTCACTATATGATAACGAACTTAATACATGGCTAACGTCAGTTCACATGGACAGCCTTGATGATTCAAGGCCATATTGGAGTACAGTACGCTTCTACCACTCATCCAGTCAAAGGGGTGCCTTGTAGTCATAGCAGAGGAGAGAGGTACCCGTCGATATCCTGATCACCTGACTTACAGCCAATCAGTCAATCAGTACTGGCTAATTTATCACCTCCGAAAATTTTTGAACAGTCGATTGTGTGTCATTTCTCATCGGAGGCACCAAACAAAATGACTCAACCGTAGTGTAACTGTTCGCAAACTAAGCGCATTCTTAAACAGTAACGGTTGTCTTCTAAAGAGAAAAACTATCTGTTTTCTTGAAACAAGTTATGTATTTGATGATAGGCCAGCTAGAAAATCTAAGCTGATTGCGAAAGTCCGGTGTGATCGGCCTTATTAAAAAGCCATTGTTTCTTTGTACGGTGTATATCGGACATCATAATTGTATGGGATACTACTGACTGAATAAAAGCTAACGTCGTCAAACCTAGCAATTTGTCTGGTAGATACTTATCAAAGAACAGAAGAAGCTATGGTGGTTATTTCTATGGCAACCGGCATGTTGGACAATGTCAGACAGAGTAGTCCAACGTTTCCAGCTGTTCGGTTCAGGCCATCGATCAATACCGTTGCAGGGCAATTCACTTGATGTGAAATGTCCGGTCCGTCAACGTAGCCCAGGTCTTTCTCAGTTTAGCTGGAATCTTCAGCGTTCTGTAGTGTTTGTACTTCTGACTAACACATGCGTCTTGATAGAATTAAGAGCGCCGATAACATGCGCATTTCGAAGCGGTACGTTTTCCCAAATCGAAATTTACTGGTCATTTAAAGAAACTACAGTTTTGTCTTCTGTCCTCATTTCTAAACAAAACGCATAAAGTCCACGACCGGCTCGGCCTTCCTTGGGTTCATTTGTAGGCGCAGTCCCCGAGTTTCCGTTACCCTTATGTTCTACGTGAACCCAGACTGCACGAACTTCAAAATATATGTACACTTATCTGCCTACCACTTTGGTTTTGACAGAAGGCACACCTGGATTCCAGCGGGGCCTCTCATTTCTAATGGTCTTAAACAGGATTTTCAGTAGCGCTGACAGCAGCGCATTGAATCTTTACAATGGATCACAGTATCTCGAGTGTCGTACCATTTGAAACATAAGAAGGCCTGATGCAGTACATTCCGTTGCCGAAGAACATCAAGGATGAAAGTTTTATTTGGGTTCCAGTTGAGTTTCCCCCGTCGAAACCAAATAAGCAGGCAGTTGATAGTACGGGTCAAATGGCGTGCAACTGGAGTGAAAGTAAGACATGAGGATGATGAGACTACCTCTACCGGATAAGCAAGCCCCAAGAAGGGCAAAACCTGTCGTCGGCTGTCATGAGGTTTTCAGTAACCTCATAAGTAATGTATTATTTCCATCACATGAGTAAACAATGAGAACTGACAGCTCATGTAGGGATTAAAGTTAGGTCCTCTGATTGGTAATACGTGACCAAAACCACTTGAAATCCACTCCTATTCGCAAGGAGAACCAGCATAACTCTGTGGAAAGTAGTTTGAACGTCTGGTGAGCTTGGACAACGTCTTTCAGGACTGTCTGTTATTGATTGCCATTGAAGAATATTTGTTCCGAGGAGTGGACGGAGTTCAAACCTAGCGAATCCTTCGCAAAGAGGTCATGTTTAATGCACGCAAGTGGTCAATGTCTGTGAAACAAACTCACGTTGCTAATACCAGAACAAAGATTTATTGTTTCTTTTAGAACAGCAGTGGTGGAGCCAAACAGAAGCGGACAATGCCAAAGGCCGATGTCGCCAACGGGTGTGCTACAGAATGGTTTATTGCGCAGCCTTGTTGGCTGCGTATTTTGTTGATTCACCTCAGGGGTAGAAGGTCTAAGTTAGTGAGCATGGAGTACCTAGAGCAGTTAACGTCGCGTCTGAGAAGAGGACTGACAAAATGACAGAAAAGATGGCTGGCAAGCATTACTTGCTTGTGGTTGCATGTGGGGCTGTGGAACCGAGCAACATTTTCAAACAGTCCGAAATTGGTTGTGCCTAGTTTCGGGTCCGTCCTGTATACACACTCCCTGAAAATCAAACCCTCACTTGAACGTAAAGTCACACGTGTTTTCCATCGTATTGTCTGTTGGTTAACCGAGCCGCAAATCGTGGCGGTTATGAAGAGCACGCAATCACACCACCTCCCTATAGAGATAGCCACTTTGACTTAGTGTCGTGCTCTAACTGGTCAGCACAGACTGAGAGCCTGTCATGAAGCAAGATAGAGTTATGGCATATGTGTGTCTATATCACTGCTTTCGCTCAGAAATCACCAACCGCTACATTTTAGATGACGCGTTCACTCAGACCAAACACAAACTGCACTTACTTTTCGAGAAATACACTCATTTGCAAATCAATTCGGTTCTCACGAGAGACTCAACTGAATCTCTCGTTTATGATATTCTGCACTTACTTTTCTCACAGGCCTGCCCCTCATAATCCAGTGGGCATAGACACTGGGACGACAAATCATTGTCAATACGGCGTACTCAAAGGGTCGCTGAAACTCTCCGACAGCCCACGACCGATTTCGCCCTTCAGGTAGGCGCGGTCCCCAAGTTCCCGCCAACCTTATGTTCTACTTGAACCCGAATTGGACTGTTTCCGAGAAATACACTCATTTGCAAATCAATTCGGTTCTCACGAGAGACTCAACTGAATCTCTCGTTTATGATATTCTGCACTTACTTTTCTCACAGGCCTGCCCCTCATAATCCAGTGGGCATAGACACTGGGACGACAAATCATTGTCAATACGGCGACAGATACCACCATTGGTGCACGCAGGAGTACAAATAGGAAATATGTTTGGATCTGAAGTGAAGTTAGTTCTTTGGAGAACAAAATTGTTTTTCTCCGTTACGGTGGACATGTTGGAAGCAGGGACTGGAGGGTGTGTGGTTTCAATGGACGTTTTCACTGTTGCGCTATCGTTTGCAGGTGAAGACTGTCGGGTTGAATGGATAATTAGGAGAAGGGTCCATAGTTCCTGGAAACCGACCATCCTGAGAAGTGAGAAAAAACGAAACCAGAAAATAGAACTACTTACAAAGCTACTGAAAATCTTTCGGTCATTGGTTTTACGTGGTAGATTCAGCTCCCTAATTTCCAACAAGCTTATGTTCCACTTTTACACCACAATGTACATAAGAGGTGAAATAGACCAGCTCACCAGCTCACAATGCTGCTTAGTTGAATCGTTTTACGATGTTTCTAAATAAGAATGTGTGTTATACAAAGGACCAGCTCACAGCTCACAATGCTGCTTAGTTGAATCGTTTTACGATGTTTCTAAATAAGAATGTGTGTTATACAAAGGCCGCGTCATGTTCCAGTTAGTATAATCTGCAGAGCGTGCTTTCACGCATCTAAGAACAAATACATTTACACACAGTGTGCTGCTAATTAGTTTAGTGACAAAAGGACCCTTGGCAATGAGAAACTAAAAATTGTATGAGACAAGATGAGCACCAATTTGCGTTCGCGTATTTCAATTTAAAGAATGCACGACCTCATGGAAAGACCGTGCTAAACTGAATCGGAAAATTATTTTGAGCCCAAAAATTCTGTTTACAACAAGCACTGACGGCCAAAGTTTTGGTGCATTGGTGGCAAAGTCCTACAGGTTCACATATCTGATTAACTTCCCCCTAGACAGTCTGAAATTTACCTATGTCTCAACAGAGCGGATCAATCGATGATCAGATATCAGCACTACTCACCTAAGAAATCTAACATTTATACGTTTTACAGCAAGTATTATTGTAAAGTATCCTTCTGCATTCAGTGGTCCTTCTCTAAAACCTTTCGTCTGGTTTTCTCCTAATGGCAAATGTGTACAGTTATTTCATAGAAAATCCGTTCGGTTCTCTGTAGCTGTTTGTTTGTTTGTTTTACCTTAAATAGTGTTCTTTCTTGTATTAAGAAACATTCCCTTTGATATTCGTAAACAAGTTCTGGAACCCGTGTCATGATAGAATGATCTCCACTGGTGTTGTCAACCTAATATTCTTTGTAAAGCAACTCCGGTTTATCTTGGGTTTGATCTTTGTCACAACAGTGACCGAACTAAAATAATTCAATATTCCTGCAGCATGTTTGAACGGACTGAGGAATACTCACAAGGTTATTGCCAATGACGGCAGCTTTGCCCATCTTGAGGCTCATCAAACAGACTCAGTCTCTGAGTTCCCGTCAAACTCATGTTTCACTTTAACTCATATGTTCCGTAAGCTGTAGAAAAATATGGGCGCTCACGAAACCTTGAAAGGCTGAGGGTAGTTTAAGGGTGACCTGACTTTGGTCCACCTTTACGTCGCTCGAAACGGCACATAAAACGGCATGTATTTTCTTCCCTCAACCAGGTGAATTAATAGACCGGAAATAAAGTTCACTGTAATAAATGATCTGCTTAAATTAATCTCCTGTGGAAAGTGATTTATTTCAAGACTTGTTTCTACACATGGAAAATCGATTCGGAATAGACTTTTAGGCACCCAAATCATTCTAGTTAGTAACATTTAGTCTCTGGTGCTGACAGGGTAAGGTTTCCTACATTTAGTCAATATGTCGATGGAGAACGTGATTTCTGGCAGTTGAGCAATTTACCTAATTCTTGAGGGTGAACTGATCGATACTCGTCCAGGGCACCAGTAAATGCGTGATAAAGAAATTCACGTTGTTTGGGGTAGGGCGCACGCAGCTCAACTATAGGGGGTCCACTAGATTATTTTACGCTGCACATCATCTTTACCGGTTCTCTGGTGTTCCCAGGAGGTTCACAGTGTGAATGCCATCGATTGTTTGCAGAAGATTCTTTGCCTGGTGCACTATCTGGAGAAGATAAGTGGTCCCGACTGCGAAGCATCTTCACCTTGATGGTAGTTGGGTGCTGTAGTATACTCCCAATACTTAGGTTAATTTTATTAGAATAAGAGCGCTGATAATACACAGAAATCAGTCGGCACATTTTTTATAAAATACTTGATACAATAAAACGAAAAAAACGAGGGAAGTGAAATCACCGAATACTCGGTTGACCATGCAGAGACTGTGAGACTCAAGGGAAAGCAGAACGACTGGCATGCAGGCTACGCTGATCTTATTGCATGACCGAATCTCTTCTGAAAACCTGATAGGTGAAAAACTTCCCTTACGCGTTTGAACAAGAACAACGCAGACGTCCCCCGAAAAAAAGTGATTTGTTCTATCCTGACTATTCTCAAAACTCAGTGAGAGATCCAGTTAGGTGGAGTGCAGTTGTCCTCTCCAGTGAATTTCCTAGTTATTGTATACTTAATTTTCCTCGTCGCATAACTTTTGACAGGCCAGCCGTTGAAAAAATTATTAGAACGATGTATCCCATTTTAGTTACTAATTTTTCTGCGTTCTTTAGAAAACGTGCGTTGAAGTTTTCAGCGTGGATGAGGACGGGGAATTTTCGTGTCCATGTGATTAGACTACTGTATTTTGTTCTTCTTAAATCACCCTACTAAGTTTCTGTCGGAAATCAATATTCCAGAGCTGCGTAACTTCATTTAACCTAGCCAGAACGATACGGATACGTACGCAAGAACGTGCATCTATTTTTTAATGCCTGCCTTGACAAGTCATCCATCTTCAAACTGACTATTTTTTGCAATGGGAAAACACGCGTCCTTTCGGGTTTTGTGGCGTGGTGGTGAGGGGACTTGTCTTAACAATACGGTCACTGCTTCACAACCCAGGGATTCACCGAACCACAAATAGCTTGATTCCGTTCCGGATACGCCGGAGTGGTAAGTAGCTTGAGCTTCGAGTGGGCGCCTCCACAAACTAATGTGAAGTTAAGGGATGTCTTAGAAACCAAATTTCGCAAATTGGTTGTAGCCTGCAAACAAGGATGACCAAAAACGCCAATATCTTGTTTGGAGTCACCTGACAGTAGTCTGCAAAAACCAGCAGTGGTATGATCACGTGACCAAAGCTTCCTGAAGCGGAACAGAATGGTTTGAAATGTTGTTGCCGTTAGTCCGTTTTAATAATTTGTCGTCAAAAATAAAATGTGAAATAGCATGGTTGTCATGTTGGTCAGATTGATGAAAATAATCTCAGAATGGCCGAATTCTACCTAGACTCATCAGACATCGAGGCGAGAAAACTCAGCTGCTGATTGGACGCTCAAATAGTCAATCAATTCTACAACTGCTGACGATGATGAGTGTTCACCCATTGCCCATCAGGCAGCCTGAACTCAAGGCCAAAAGTTCACTTTATTTACCATGATATCTCTCGTAATTTTGCACTCGCTTGTTCGCAATAAAACCCTTGTGTTGCTTTCCCGACACTAAGGCAGTGGAGCTGGGACAATGTAAAAATAACGGTAAAATATGGTGCATTTCTGTTTATAACCAAAGCTTTCCCGTATGCGTACCCGATAGCCGAAACGATTAACAAGAGCACATAAAGAAGAAAAGGTGCTTTGACTCACAGTTTGGTGTTTAATGTCTGAAAAAGTCCCCAGGTAGGTCACACATGTCCCTAACCTCACTGTATTCTTAATTCATCGTTTCACAATCTATCTTTCTTCATAACTGTCCGTCGTATTTCCCCGGATGTTTCCTAGATACAAAAGCCCGGTTATTCGATAAACATTCAGGTTGTTTGCGTTTGTAACACTTACTATCTTGTGGAGAACGCTTACCGGGACCGGGTCACTTAGATTTGAATTCCTGAAGTGCCCACGCCTAATGCAGTGGCTCCTGGAAACCCTCGGGATACTGAGTAATAGCACAATTCTGTCTGCTGATATATCTCTCTACGGCTTCTGTTTTGCACAAGTTTGTGCCTTACCATCTTTTAGTTAGGACGCAAGTTATTCAGATAAACACTGCAGGAAAAAGACCTACTAAAGTTGATTAAATACACCTATCCCTCAGATTTATAATTGATCGTGAGCACACGTGCGTGCTTTCGGAAATGTTGATTTGTCAGATAATCCCAGAATAGTAATGAGTCATACTTTGAGTGATACTCTGATTTGCACTCTTGGACATGGACAGTTTTAGCAAAGTCTTTTAGAATACTTTAAATCCCAGTTATTTGGGTGGCAAAATCATCTATGTGGAGCTCACTTGGGCACCAGCTTGTAGATATTTTTTATTTCAATTTGTATGAAAGGGAGAGTTGTACAAATTTTGCATGAACCATACCATCTTCCAGTTGGACAGTGAAAATGGGAGCAAGGCTCAACATACTTTGCGCCAGGAAACGTTTTAGCGCACATCATTTCACTCTAGGGTTTCAGTTTTTCATACACCAACCAGGTTCACCAGCTTATTACAGCTTGCAGTAGTGTCCAACTGACGCAAAATTTGTTCGGTATTTTGCCTTTACGTAACCGGGCTTTTAAATTGCAGTTTTTTATTATTCCATTTGCAATAGGTCAAAGTATACTTTGCTTTACGAGTGGGGGGAACTGACGTAGAATCGGCTAATATTTTGTGATTCTGGGCATTACCTGGTTTCATGTGATCAAAGATCATTAAATCAATCAATCACTAAATGATTACATGTTATACTGGCCGAACTGTTTTCCCAACCATAGATCCGATAACTCAGGTGCCTTACTTAACACGTTTTAGAAGTACGTAAGAGAATATCGGGCTCAAAACACGACCGCATTGATTCGAGTCCCATTTTTAGCCATTACCGCATCCAATTTCACCCCAGGTCTTTTACAAGCAAATCACACAGGGTCAGTTATCCTTGGCTACTGAATAAAGTTATATGGATCACAATATGTTGGGTGAGGGAGTGTGCAACTCTGGTTATTGATTACCACACGTCTACGGGCCTTTTATGAATCAGTGATTGCTGAGTCCGGTCTACTAACTCTTCTTGTTAGCAAGTGACTCGGGCTGACTGCCAAACGCAATAAAATGAATGAAGAATCCCTCCAAGTCCGATGTAAAAGTCTTGGTTTAGCTTTTTCAAATCATCAAGGACCTGTCCACACATCAACTCA